AGGGAGGGAGGGAGGGAGGGACCATCAACTTACTTGGTTTTAGGTGTTCTTCTCCCAGACACAGACTTTGATATGTTTTAATTCTCCACAGTGCCCCCCAGAAATGCTTGAGGAAAATGAAGCAGAATGTGAGGCTGAGCAGGAGTGGAGATACAAACTTCTCAATGAGTGGGAAGATGAGTTTCAAGAGACCCCATGGCAGAATGAAGGTACACTTGGAGGGTTTTTGTTTTTCTTCTTGTTTTGTTTTTTTGCATACTTAAATAAGGAAATCAGTTCGGACATGGAACCAAAGCCCCCAGCAGAGGCATCCTAGGGAAATGGTTTCAGTGTTATTCCAGAGCTTGCAACAGTGCCAGCAGGAAAACCAGAATAAAGCAACAGTGATTGAGGAATTAGCATAGATCCTAGGTAAAACTTTATGGTGACCAGGAGGTCCTGTGCTCGATCTTAACCTCATAAAATAGCTGTTGCTAGAATATTATTCCTGGATGCTAGCCTAAGAATAATAGAAGAGTGATTTGAAATTGGTGCAAAATATGGCATCATATGATGCTGATACTAAAAGATCTGCGCTGGATACAAATTCCCCACTGTGTACAAGTTCAGGCGTGGCTGTTGACCTCTAATACCCTAACTGGCTTGGCTCTACATGTAATGTGCTCCTGAAGGACGTGCATTGGGGGAGACACACACACACACACACCAGTATTTAAGAAGACAGTAAAAACACAGCCTTTTGGCCAAGCGTTTAACATCAATTATTGCAACAATTTAATTTTGGTTTTGATTTCAATTGTATTAATTTCATATTTTTCTCACTGTCATACACCCCCTTGAGAATTGGGAGAAACAGAAAGGAAGGTAAAAATGTCAGGGATTTAACTGAACTAAAATAATTAATGGCATGACTTGCCGAGTGATATACATAACCATTGATAGTGGCCTCTTCCCAGGTATATAAGATCTTTAAAACCATCCTCAAATTGATGCCCTGCAGATGAGTTACGGAACATCCTGTCAGCCAGCACAGACTTCAGATTAATGCTGAATGATGGGAAGTGGAGTCCGTACGCTGTGTTGTTACGTGCTCACCTCTTGGATTCTACATTCTGCTGACTTCTTCCAAATCCCTGGCATTGCTCCCTTCTTTTTCTTCACTGATTCACATTAAAACAGAATTATTCTAAGATGTCCCTAAGGTAGATTTTACTCAGCATCCAGATAGGCCAGGGTTCCTCAACCTTGGCAGCTTTAAGCTGTGTGAACTTCAACT